TTACCTTTCTGAAGAAATCACTCAATTTTTCACCATACAATATGCAACTCACTTTCAGTTTTCTGTTTGGATGCCGAGTATTGGTTTATTGATAGATTTTTAGTAGACAAAAATTGTGAACTGTAACTCCTTCACCCTGTTGCTTTTTTTAAAAGCTCTGGAGACTGTAAATGTTCACATGTTCTACTGAAGGATTGCAAAAGTAACATTCATTTATAACATTTGAAGGATTATTCATGGAAAAATTATGCAAAGGAAAAAACAGTGAGATCCTTTGGGATATGTGTAAACTTTTCCAAATGTTCTTGCCACAGATCTCTGAACAGCACTCGGCTCGCTCTGATGAAGTTGTCTCACGTTCCCTAATGCAAACAAATTTTTAATGTTTTAATATTTTTATACATTATTTTTGTGCATGTCAGCATAGTCTTGAAAATGATGCTGAGACATAATGAAAACCAAACTAACCCTTGTTCGTGCCAGCTGACTGGAAAATCCTACTAAGAGTGCTTTGTCTCCATGAAAGGCAAAATAACAGAATAGCAATCATGGTAACAGTATGCACTAGGAGTGGAGCCAGGAGAGTAAAGAGGAGAGTTAGCAGTAGCAGATGACTTCACTTATTGGAAAAAAAGGGGCAAAATAACTCAATCTCAAATGAATTTAAATATTGGAATTTTGTTATCAGCAGTATCAGGCACAGCTTTCCCAGCTAATTGCTCAGCAGTCTGGTATGTCCATAAACATCCCTCGGTCTGTGCCGTTTTCATCAGTATCTCACCACTTACCCTCTTTGGCATCCTTCTTGGCACAGGCCCGCTTATCTCTTACCCCTTTACAGAAATGAGGTCATCTCCCCTGTGCCCCATCACTCATGTTGACACCCTCTGCACCCCAGACTGCTTGCTGAACTGAGTGTACCCTGCAGCACAGGTCCTGTCTAAGGAGAACTCTGAACTTCACAGTTCATCTTCACAGAAATTTGACAGCAGAGCAGATGTAAAGACTTTGTAAAGCTTTTTAAGCTCAGATTCTTTTTGCCTTAGCACAGGTCTAACAGAGACAAACTGTGTATTTTCCTTCTCTTGCCTTGGCGATGTGGAAGATGAACAACTACACAGAAAATGACCACTCCAGACAGTAATACCAGCACAGCTGATACTTCTGTCTTCATCTTATCCCACAAAGCATCCTGTTTTCTGTCATCAGGATCCTCACTAAAGACACCTAACTAGGGATTAGAGTGAGTCCATTACCTCCTTTCACAGGACTGATGAAAGCAATTGTGATTGTCATGTGTAATATATTGCAAGGAAGCCAGGCTGGAACTGTTGGCTTAGGTTGTAAGGCTCCTAGACCTATTTGCACAAATTCTGTCACCCTTGACACATCTCACCTTAGCCAGGCAGTATTTTAATCTGAACTGAAGTCTGATTCGATAGTCTTACTTTCAATGTGAGATATGCAGTCCTTTTAGACATATTACATCATTACTTTCAGGGTTTTTTGAGCAAACTTTTTCTGTTCTGAAGCTGTCCAGGTAATAAAAACACTTCCTCAAATCGAGTTATAAGGATCAATCTTTAAATATTTTTGTGTTGTATTCATATTAGTGCAAATTTCACTCCATGCTTCCTAAATAAAAAAAAAAAAAAAAAAAAAGGAGGGTAGAGTGAAAACTCTCAAAAGAACTATTTTCGTTGGTAGACGACATCTCTTATTTTTTGTAGGTTTTGAAAGTGATAACATTTGAATCTATAAATAGTTTAAAATACCTGGACTCAGATCCAGCTGACTTTGATTTTGTAATGGCTTTATTGTGTCAGCTCAAGACTTGTTATTTTGCTGTTCTTTCTCTAGGTAAAGTAGTTTTGGTGCAGTCTTCATGCTTTAGTTCAATGAATATTGTCTTAGAATCAAATTAGTTAGTCATATTGCTTTCAGCTCTGTGGCTATCCATGGTGAAAAACTTTAAACTCGTATGTATTAGAAAATTTAATAGTTATTTTGACATGTGGCATAGTGTCTAGGTGAAAAAGTACTGCATCATACTCATTTAGGACTGTGCCTTGAGATTGCTACTCTTTCACAAGCTGTAGTTTCAACAGTTTGTTAAACATAATGCTTCAGTAGCTCTCGGCAAACTATAATGCCATCCACTCAATGTAGATCAGCATTTAGAACTGGCACCAGCAAGAAGGAACTGAATGACGCAACAGGAAGCAATAGAAAACTGAACCAATCCTGCAGCCAGATTAAGGGACAAGTGGTAACCTCAGAGTGGCCATACTAACACTGAAGTTTATGCTGAGTTTCAGAATAAACTCTCGCTGATACCTGTTCATAATTTTCAGAAAAATTCTTTCAGCTGCCACTGTCTTCATGCTGGGTCTTGGTTCCAATGTATTTTAAGCTTCTTAGCAGGTAGTGAACATCTCAGTAGTCCTAAGTATTTTACTGTTCACAAGTTGAAAAGTATCTGATGAAAAGGCACTGTAAAGAAAGCATGTAGAGATAATTCCTTTTTGTGAATCTAGTTCATCAGGAGGGCTCGAGGTTTTCAAATAAAACAACTTCTAATCATTTCTGAAACTTATGAAGGCATTTAGTTTGTCTCTGCATAAATTTTAAGAATTTGTAAAAGACTTTAGTGAAATATATGCTCTTGCTTATAATGCAGGAGACAAGATTTTCAGACCTAATGGTGAAATACGAACTCAGTTTTTACACTGAACTAGTCACCACCGGATTGTGCTTAGGTTCATACTTCTTATATTCTAACTTGTGCTTAGCCTCTATGGCAGAAGAGGAAGATGAACCCTATTGTCTTTAGGGCAGAAGCTTCCCATGTCCTCTTACAGCCCAAATGTAACAAAATTTTAATTGAAAATGCAGCAGAATGTTGTACTCAGCCCTACTCTGACCTCCCAGGTGTATGGTTCTCTTTGAATCTCTGGATCAAGGAATGATTAAAAGTGCATTTTTTTTTAAACTTCATGTGGCCGTCAAGCATAAGACCTTCTCTGAAGCCACATATGGCAGTGACTCATGCTACTGGTGTCATGTTTCACAAATGCTCGATTGTGTGATAGTAGCAAAGACAGGCAAGCAAGATGATACATAGGAATAAGGTAGAAAACAGGTTTACAGACTGTTTTCTCTTTGTTCTCCCATTAGATTGATGATCTGAGGAACAATATTACTGAAGCTTCCTCTAATGAACTCATTTCCCCTCTCCCTATTGCTAGAAGCAGTTTCCTCTTTCTGCTTGTCTTGAGGCTCCTTTCGTTGTTAAACACCATAATGAAGGGTTTGCTCAAATGTGCAGAACAGTGTGGATGACATTTTTCCCCTTACTGCTAAGGAAAAACCTTTGCAATTATTCATTGTAACGATCCAGTTCGTAGTGAAATTCCTGAGTCTAGGCTATGGGCAAATAAAAATACAAATAATTTGGATTGAATTCCTATATTTCATACAACTTGACATAAGTCAATATTGCAGAGTGGGTATGGACAGTAAAGTACCTTGCATCAATTTGCATTATTTTTTGCCTCTCACTAGGACAAACTCATCACTGGTTTTCCTGTTTCTACTTGTCTCATGAATCCTCAGTTCAAGGCAGCAGAAACTGATGAGTAACTTCTGTTCTCGGGGAGAGATGGAGTAGCCTATATAACAGAATCATCGAGTATCTCAAGTTGGAAGGGACCCATAAGCATTATCGAGTCCAACCCCCTGCTTCTCGCAGGACTGCCTAAAACTAAATTAGATTAGGAAGAGTGTTGTCCAGACGCTCCCTGTACTCTGACAGACTTGGTGCCCTGACTACTTGCCTGGGGAGCCTGTTCAGTGGCAAACCACCCTCGCAGAACCATTTCTGTCACAAGTGTACATTCATGTCCTGTTGTCAAATTGTGCCCTGGAATGTTGGGGGTTTCCTTGTTTGGTTTTGGTTTTTTTTTTATGACCATCACTAATTTGAGGCCTGACACCCCTGTAAGGATTGTGATGATAGTTGTATGCGGTTTTTCACATCACAGAGTTTGTCTCGGTCGACGTATTAACAGGTGGGTTTAGGTTAGAGGCCAAAAGCCAACTAAGCTAAGGTTGCTGAAGCCTTTGAGAACTGGTTCCTGTAATGCAGGGGAAAGTCTGTTTCACTGCGACCTGAGCTGTACCAGGTCCAGAGAGAGATATGGGGCAGGCAGACAGACACTTTCGTGACCACTATTCCCACTTCTGTCACAAGCAGCAGTGCCACAACGAAACATTTAAAAGTGAAATCTCAACTGTTTATTGTGAAGCCAAGAATAGCATTGCATTCACTGAGGATGATGATAGGCCATGTTGTTCTCCACTGTATTGCAAAGTTCACTGCCAGCCTTTTGCGAACAGCATCAAGGAACTGGAACAAGAACAGCTTGTCCATGTTTTCCATGAGGCCTCATAAAATCTGTAAAATGAGAGGAAGAATAATTGCAGTGAGACATCTCTAGAGCTCATAGATGATTGAGAAGTAATGCATCTGTCTGGCCATTAGATAGATGAAAAGCCCCTGCTTTCTCTTGCATGCCCAAGCTGTGAGTCAGTGTGAGCAGATTGTTTACAGTTTATTCACAACATGGAGTTGTGAACAAAATTCAAAACATGTGTGAGCATTTCTGCTCACACCCGAAGTACAAACTGACTTTATGGCTCTGCATATTACACTTTGGCACATCCAGCTTTTGTAAGGGTGCCAAGACTTTTTGTAGGAGTTCATTGTTAAAAGTATGTGCAAAGCTGTTTTAAAAATTACTTCCAGACAGTTCAAGAATATAGAGATGAATTCATAAGAGAAATGGATGGTGTAACCCTAATGCCCAAGAAACAGTTATTCAGAAATGGTGCCTTTTGGTTATCTGTAACAATTCATTTAAATCAGTGGCTAAAAATGGCAGCCCATGAAATTTCTGAGGTTTGCATCCATTCGATGTTAAACGATCTCTGTCTTTCAGGTCCATCTGACGTGTCGGCAATTATGAAATTCAGCAGGAGACCCACATGTCCTGATGCCTCAGTAGCAGCAAGTCTACCTACCCCTCCTGTACCGCGGCACAGGAAGAGTCACAGCCTGGGAAACAAGTGGGTACTCGGCCTGTCTCGGGCAGGTTCGCGAAGGCTCTGGTGTTTGTCCCTTCCATTTGGTGTGTTGCGAGAGTGTTTCAGGCTTTACTGTGTATTCTCTAGGTGTTCTCCAACGGCCTCTCCACAGGTAGGGCGGGGCGGGGGGGCGGTTACACTGCGGTACCGTAATTAATAAAATAATAATTATAATAAACCCAAAGTGATCAAGACTGCGTTATGAGCACGAGAAAGCCCCCTTCTAAGCGACTCCAGCTGTTTCCGGAATAGGAAATGGGCTGTGGGCAGCAGGTGCTGGCCACGGCGTCTGAGGCTGCGGTGATCTCTGAACTCCTGACAACACCGGCTCCGTCGTGCTGAGCCCTCAGACATCAGTCCTGGGAACACTAAAACCGAGCGAAGCAGCCGAGCCGGGGCAGGAGGGCAGATGGGCCGCGGGCTCAGGGGAGGAACAGGGACTGTCACTGCACCATGGCACCCATTTGTCTCAGCCCCCAGCAGCAGCATGCAGCTGGCGGGGCCTGTTACAGGTGTGCTTGCTTGTGGGAAACAAACAACAATACCATGTCTAATCACTGTAATCAACATACAGATGTTGCCTTATAAATATTGACTTACAGAGGAACTGGGGTTTGTGTTCCTGAAGTGCTCAGCTTTTGAAGGAAAAGCAGCACAATGAAAGTTAAAGTAACATGTAGATGCCTGGTACTTAAACACAGCAGTGTTTAAATTACTTTGTTCACCACCAAGGTATAAATGGGAAGGCTCATGTAAGCTTCTTCTCATTTTAGACTTTGCAGTGAACTCTAAAGACTTCAACTTTGAAACATGGTTTGACTAAGCAATTTCTGTGGTACTCCTTAGAGATTATCCTGGCAATCCACATACCTTGACCTTGTATTTTCCCTTGGGTGGTTTTCTTACTCCTTCTCTGTACTACTCTTTTTCTAGATAGCAGCGAAAGCTCAGAATTTAGTGAGGATCTGCCATCAGGGCTTGAAAGGTGAGTTAGTCTTCATGTACACTCACTGAGCAGTCTACAGACTTAGCTAAGAAATTCATGAATGATCCCTAACATAGGTAAGCCTTAAATCAATAGTTGTTTTCATCAAATTATTGATTAGTTATGAAGAAATGTCAAACGTTCTGAAATAAAACATTGTAAAGTTACTGTGGTTTTCTTCTCATGGGCCTGAAAACATTGGGAACTATCTCTGTCACATTTACCAACCCCTAACTGTTGAAGTCTCAGACTAGAATGTCCCTCATCAGATATTTGCACTCACAAACAGGGGTCGTTTGTATGCCACGCTGGGGCCTAACTGGAGGGTACCGATCCGGAATTCTCCTAGGAGTCAAAGCTGTGTCTACAGGTATGGTTCAGGGTCTACCTTGTGCAGTGTATGGTGTTAAACTTCCATGTGGGGGTCTATGCTTTCTTGGTGTAAGGTATTTCGTGTCCAAAAGTATCCTTTCATGACCATATCAACTCATGGTAATCTTCCCATCCTGCTTGTGAAAACTCCTGTTAATGCTAAAGCAGGGGTATGGCCCATTCAGATTAAATTCAGTTTCACTGTGGTTTAACTAATTATATCTGGGTTCCATATTGTAGGAACCTAGTGTTTACTTTGAGTTTTATGACATTACAGAAGCAAGTTTGTCATGAAGGCCTTCTTTGCTTTCTGTGACAAATAAAGGTGTTAGAAGGATACCTTCTTGATGCTTCCTCACAATTTATTTCCTGATTTTCAGGACAGCTACCCATAACATCAGTTTGTGTCTGAGACCTATAGTATGTGTGTTGATTCTGTACGGTAAAGAGGTGTTAACCTTGGACCTCAAGTAAGAGAGGGAACATCTGCAGTGCCATATGTAGCAGGTGCTCTCGATGTTGCTAGTCACTAAGTCATGGGCTTTTCAGAAACAGGTAATCCATTTACAGGCCAGAGAGAGGTGACATGGAAAATTGTGTATAGTTAGAGGGAGAAAAATAATTAATTGCATCCATACCTGACCTGGACTTGACAAATTCTGTGGTAGTGGGAAGTGAAGAAGTATATATGAACAGTCAAGAAAATAGGGCCTTGAAACAGTATTCTGCAAATACTGAGATTTAGTTGGAGTTTAAATCCAGGCAGGTTTTATTTTGTATAAATTAATTTGCTCTAGCCAGTGTAGAAATGTTGATATAATATGTAAGTACAGCCATTTTACTTGAGCTAGTAACATTTGATAGCTGCATAAGTTAGAAGTTGGACAAGCATAAAAATGCATACATTAAAAATAAGTAAAGGAACAGTATTTCAGCTATTACACCTACTGCTGGAAAATACTGTCTTTAACACATCCACGTTTCAAAAATGTATACAAGCTAGAAATACAAAATAATAGAAGATAAAAACATGAAAAGCCTATTAAATCCACAAAGAAGAATTATTCCCTGAAATACATTTCTTATGTTTATCCACAGTCAAGTAATTCTAACGCTCGAGTTTGTTCTTCCTTTTCTGGGATCTTCCACTCTTCTATCAGAAGACTAGAACTGCCAAGAATACACATTAGCATAGTCAAGGCAATTCCATTTAATTGAGGAAGATGCACCTGCCAGTTTGAGGGGCTGTTCCTGCATAGGTGTGTTGCTGTGTCTATATACGACATGGTCACACTTGTTCACAGACAGAGTAACGTTCCTTTCGCAGCCCGATGGTGTGGCACCACATGGGCTTTTCCTTGTGTTTGTTATTAGATGTGATTTCGTTGGCTCTGGTAAACCTCATTGTCTCGTACAAGAGGCCGTGATCACATGGCAGTGAAGAGAGTCAGCAGCAGATAATTCGAACAGATCATGACCTACAAATTAGTCTTTGGTCCTTATGGCTGTTGACATTTCTGACTTAGTCTGTACTTGGGTTCTTTCAGTTGTAGCACTTCTTCACTGGTGTATGTGGGAAACTCGGTGTTGGTCCTGGGAAAGGAAAAAGTATTTTTATCACTGTACAGTAAATTATTTGGCATTTTTACATAGTTTTCCTCACTTTTTTCCAAGTAGCCAAGGTAATTTCCTACATTCTTTTTTGATAGCTAAAGTTTATTTTAAGATAAAATTACATTTGTGGAAGCTCTTACTGCCAAAATTTTAAGCCATAAGTTTCCAGAAATACACATAATTTCTGTAATTTACTAGAATAAAGTAGAAAATTGCCTGTTTTCTCCTTGACTTTGGGCCTCAATATTTTATTTTTTTCATGTCTAAGCCCACAGAATAGAACCTTTTGTTGATTTACTGTTTTTCAAAAGTCCTAGTTCCTATTTGATATCTGGATCTGGAAAATGCATATTTTAGTCAGGTGTCAGATGATACAATATATGTAAGGCAATGCAGGAAAAATATATTTAGAGGTAAATTATATTTCTTGCTTGTTGTTCTCACTTGTCTGTTCATATACGTGTGGCAACGTTTTGTCTCTCCAGCCCAATGGGGGCCTGCAGCTGCACATTAGGTAGTTCCACAGGAGTCATTACCATGGAAGGGCCATTAAGAAGAAAAACATTGCTCAAAGAAGGCAAGAAACCTACTGTAAGTGATTCTAATTCTTGCCATGATTCTAATTCAGTAGTGGCTGTTTTAATTTCCAGGATTAGATTAAACCTGCAGCTTGATACCACAGAAAACCATTTTCCTTGTTACTGTCAATTATAAAATAATTTTCGTTTCAAAGTTTTAACTGGGTTATAACGAGGTTGTAACCTTTGTAGGTCATTTGATCTACAGCAGTTTCGCTTCTCTCTGGATTTGCAAGTAATGTCTCTAGGTTGTGACAGCAGAGCAAGAGTAAAGCACCTCTATAATCAGCATACATTTCTGTGAGGACAGAAATCTAGTATCGTTGTGAAACGGGAAGGCTGCAGGGCATCCACCCATAGCACCAAAGTCATGGTAATTCATACTTAACCCAAATTCACACGTTTCACAGGTTCTGGTCCTATGCATTTGGTAATTTTTTGTTTTCTGTGGAGTTCATTGATATTTTTTGTGTTCAACCCTACTGTTCAGTGCTAAAAGATTTGAGGAATTATGGAGATGTCATCTCAATATATTTTATTGATCTTATGCAGAAGTCAAGTATCTGTGCAATAAAAGGCAGCACAGGATTTTGTTGTGAAGCAATCAATCCTGATATTTTTAAGAGGTACCCAGGTAAGATAGCTTGTATTTAAAGCCAGCCATGCAAATTTAGGTAGCTGATGATTTATATCAGGAGACACTTTATCCAACTCTCCATTCCTTGCTGCTGAAATTAACTTTGGTAGCACTTAGACTTGCTTGTGAACAGATGTTTGAAATGTCAGAAAATGCAGAGTTTTTCCTAATTTTTTTTCCTTTCTGATTCAGCTCTCCTCATGGACTAGATACTGGGTTATACTTTCAGGATCAACTCTTCTGTACTTTGGAGCAAAATCTTTAAGAGGCACTGAAAGAAAACATGTAAGCTTTACATTTGTTCTAAAAACAAAACCTGCGTATTCATAAGCAGATCTGGAAGGATGTCTGAAGTGTACTTGCTGTTCCATTTGTCTACACAACTTCTACAGACAAAAGCTCATCCCTACTACAGTCGCAGCTGTGATTGACTTGTCTGTCTCTTCCAGTATAAATCTACACCTGGTAAAAAAGTCTCCATTGTGGGCTGGATGGTGGCGCTGCCTGATGACCCTGAGCATCCTGATATTTTCCAGCTAAATAACCCTGACAAAGGTACATCATCTGTATTATATTTCTGTAACAGGAAGTAAATTACTCTCTATTAATGAGTTTGTAGATTACAGAACTTGATGTGGAACTCATTTAAAAGACTGAAGGGAGATTTTCAGTGTAGAATTTTCAAGGGAGGGTACAAATGAAATTGAACATATTTCTACAATATGCTGTGGTGCTTCTGTGGTGCCTACAGAGGTACTGCTGTATCTTGACAGTTACTGCTTTGCAGAAATTGTCCAGCCAATGTGGGGTTGCTGCATGTCCATGTGCCTGCATTCCCTGATCTCGGAGTTTCTGAATAGCTCTCTTAAAATTGGTCGATACCAAATATTGGCTTACACTGAGACCAATTAAAATACTATGAAAATTCTTCAAACATCAAACCATTTACAAAAAAAAAAAGCCTTTTAATTATTATTTACTTCTTGATAATGAATTCTGAAGTGTCATAACTCTTCTGTCTTAATTAATCTTCAAAAACTTTAGAAATGCCCTGGAGTTATTTTGCACTTTGAATGGTTACTTAAAGATTTTTGAGGCTTCCTTCACTTTTCATGTTTTCAGCTTTGGTGCTGGACATGGATTTGCATCTACTGTACGAAGTGGAGCTCTTGAGTGTTGACTAAAATGCAGAAACTATTTGATTGCAAGACTCAATTTAGAAAATAATGAGACCTAGAGGAAACTCGCAGCAGGACATTGAAGAAAGTGAAGTTCACAAATATCAAAAACATTCATAACAAGTTCGGCAGTAACCACAACAGTCTTAATGAGAAGAAAGGCAAGAGTAAATTAGATGTGACCTAAGTGGTCTTTTCTGTGGCTGTAACTTGTAACTCCTCTTGGCTTTGCAGGGGTATGTTCTTATACCAGGCTTCTCCCAAGGACTGCTGAAAAACAATGCCCCACATGGTCTCTATTATATGAGCAACATCCTGTTTGCACATTCAAGGTGCAATTTAATTTAACAGTTTGCTTCAAGACTTTGGCTTCTGCACAGAAATTAGAATCCCTTGAAACTACATGTCTGTGTGCAAATGTAGAGCCTTTGGTTTTCTTTTTTTTTGTAGGCAATGTTTACAAGTTCCAGACTGGTTCAAGGTTTCTTGCAATATTATGGCATAAGCATTTGGATGATGCATGCAAAAGCAACAAGCCTCAGGTAAGGTTATGAAACTTATTTCTACCCACTTTTTCATATTTTTCAAAAAATCCTGACTAGAAAAGATGCCTTTTTTCCATTTTTGTGCACACACAGTCCTGTGGGGACAGACATAGTTCCTCATTTTGTACATTGATTCAGTTTTTCAATAGGAGGAATAAAAATTATTTAAAACTACAGAATTTCCACCAAATCAGGATTTGTGCAGGTCTAGATATAGGTTTGGTTATATATAACAGCATATAACCTCTACACTTACTGCTTCAAGTGAGGCAACCCCAAACCCCACCTCTACTTCAGAAGGGGCTTCCTCATGGGCAAAGAAAGCAAACATGGTAGTGCTGACTCCAGTGCCTGGGTCTGTAAGTGCCACTGAAGAGAGTGTTGTGTCAGATGCTACGTTTGTCCTTTATGTAGCAGACTTACTCTTCTCTGGAGGACAATGTTCCTTCTTAAAAGGAATTCCAAAGGCTATACATTAATAGGATGCTGATCCATATAGGACCTAAAACAGGATTCAGCTTGAGAATCACACACATTCCCTCACCATGCATACTGACGGCTTCTTAAAATACTTTAGCTAGATTTGATCCATGAATAGAAAAATCATTTGAGTCTTTATCTTTCCTTTCAGTTATGGGGTTAGCTCTCTTTTGGACCTGTTTGGGACAGATTACATTTTTCACATCGCATAATAAATGATTAGCCCACTCTGTTTTGTAACCTTGCAGTTGCCCAGTGCCATAATAGGCTCAGGAGCGTTATATTGCTGAATAATTTACATTCTCTTCCAGGTACCTGCTAATCTAATGTCATTCGAATAATTTGCTCTCCTACCTGGTGCGACTTAAGTGCCAAACTGAAGAAACAGGCTATTGTTCTCTAAGGAGGAAGAGGAGAATGGTTTTCCTGACATGAGCCAGCCATGACTATTTCAGCACTTTCCTGTGTGACTTGAAAGTGATTCAGAGACAGCTTTTAGAAGCAGAAAGTGAATGTTGTCCTTAGGATCAGATACAGTCTCCTGCACTGAGTGAAAGCAGACAAGTTAAGTGGACAGAAGATTAATCCTGATTCCTGCAGGATTCTAGAGCCCTCAATTTTTTGTGGTCAGAGACTGCCATGAACTGATGTTTGACCACAAACTGAGCATCATATCTTCTGCCTATTCTTTTTTAAATGGTTCTTTTTATTGTTAAGCTGCTTTGTGTGACTGAAGAGTATTCGGCCCATGTTGGGTTTCAATTCTTTCTAATGCACAGAATGACTGACAGTGTTAACTTGCTGCAAAGTGTCAATTAGAATAGAAAGTTGTGGAACAACATTTTTATAATCTAAGTGCACTGAGTTGCTTGGCAGTGTGGGTGCCTCAGATTTTTGTATCAAATCTCTGGACAATTCTGCTGTTCACATTTGAGCTATTTGGGAAAAATGTATTTTGGCACAGAACAGTTGGTTTTCTTTTCATACAGTAATGTTACTTGGGAATGCCCTGACAATGGACTTTAGGCTGTTTAAATTTATGTTCTGCTAATGGTCATCTTTCATTCTTTTACTAGTGGCATAGTTGCTTCCAAGTTTGTTGTTTTCTTCAGTCTGAATGTTGTTCATCTTAAATCCCCTGGTACAGCGAAGCAGGTAATCGGGCGTTGTGTATCCCATGGCCCTGTCTCCTCAGAATGATTCCATCGTTTCTGTTCTCTTCCTCTGCATGACTCGGCTCCACGCAAGTCTGGTACCTGATGCACCTTTATGACACCTGGTACTGGCACATGGTACTGCTGTTAGGAAGTCACGATGGCAGTGAAAGCTGGGGGAGTCTGTCTGACAGTGGAGCGAAGAAGCCTTCACACCAGTCCAGAGAACAAAAAACCAAAAAGAACATAACTGAGCCTCCTCTGAAAGAACTCTCTCCATGTCCGTAGCCATATCCCTGCTGTGCCCTGGCGCTCCCGTGGCCAGAGTTCTCTTCTGTCCCCATGCTAAGTTCAGCAATTCCTGTTTGAAACTCCTGCCACAAGGCATCACTATTCAGATCACCAGTCAATCACTAGAAGACCTCTTCTGAGTTTCCTAAGACTGCGTAGAGGAGAAATTTGCAATCCAACCTCTAGCTTACAAGCCATGAAAAAAAAGAAAGTCAGTTTAATTGAACAGTCTATAGTAGAACAAGATCCTTGGCATTAGGAGTATTTATTCAGTGGACTTGCATGATTTTCTAAATTTTTATTTTGAAACTTCTCTAACAACAACAACAAAATACCTGTATTGTTAAATGTAGGTCAACTGTAACTTTTATGTTAAGTATTCACATGACAGTCCTGAGAATGAAGCCTGATACATACCAGCTTTTCAAGAAAACCAGTTCCTGACAACAACTGCATTTAAATCCTGGGACATGTGAAAGTGTGTGTAAAGTTGACAAGGTCTCTTTGATAACTCAGGAGTTGTGTGAAAAGAGTAGTAATGCAAAACATATTTCTACCCTTTTTCTCCTTTTTTGCTTATTAAGCAAAAATTAAGACAACTTCAAACTAGGAAAAACATCAGTATCTGCAGAGGCAGAGCATCCAGTGCCATTAGAGACAGTGTAGAGCTTTTTCTAATGTGATAAAATCCTGTCGCCAGTAAATTACTTTGGAGTGTTAGAATATTATCACCTAAATTATTCTGCACCTGTGAACTTTTGTCGTGAATTATCAATGAGATTATTCATGAAGATGCAAATGTTATGTGGACCACCGTGTTAATGAACATGCCGCCTGTGACCATGTGTGTTGTGTGTTAGGAGCATTCATGGGATTCGAACCACATGCAGAACAGTGACCAAAACGATGACACACTAACCAGAAAAGAACTGTTCAAGTCAAGAGGGGCGTTTCAAAGTTACTTTATTAGTAGCCCTTTCCCCTTAAAGGAGAAGAACCTCATCTGTCTTAAATATGAGATAAATTTAAAATGGAACACATTGGCAGGAAATGTACATGCGTTAGAAGCATGTAAATACCTACTCATTTCTAACATGATGTAGTGGAAGTGAACACCAGGGAGGACTCCTGACATTTTTTTCCAGCATATTGCAACTGAGATAAACTAATGGATGTTTTAACAACTTTGTTATGTTTACGAGCCTCCCTTGAAAAGAACAGTAACTGATGACCGATACAGTAGCAATAGAAGGACCCTGTACACACTCAGTGTTTAATGGCTTTTAGAATTTAAGGGTCCCTAAAGCGTTACATGTGTTACTGTATATACAAAAGGTAGAGTGTTCTAGCCTTCAAAAATACACTTCTACTCAAAATTACAAGCCATGGAGGCTGTTGGAGAAGTTACAGAAGGGTCCATTTTCACTTGCTTGTACAACAGATTCCCAACTGGAAAGAAGGCATCTTTGCCAGAAACCATGATGGGCCTCAAAACAGTGTGGCGTGAATGAAAGGCAATATTTATGAGTGATTCTTATACCCAGTCATTTGTCACTGACAGAAGATGAATCTGTGGAGAAATTAAACCCTCCAATCTTGCTCAATTCTCAAACTCAAATCCTACTCAGAACCCTGGAATTTGAAAATACGTCAAAAGTAACTTGAATTCCCTCACATTATAAGATGAACATAACTAGTAATAGTTTTACACAATAGTCAGGTAACATCGTTTCAGTATAGCACAATTGTGAAATTGCTGCAAAATAGAAAAAAATTCAGAATGATGACAGTGTATGAATATTAAACCAATTTTAAATGAGATTTTAAGTGTTAAATAGATTGTAGCTGAGGTTTTATGCTGTCATTGGTACCATTTGCTGTACTTTTAATGAGACTTGAAAGCTGCTATTGAAATACCACATACTGCATATCAGTACTGATGAATACAGCATTTTCACAAAAATATCACAAACCATACAAGTTTTCATCCAAAGAGAACAACTGCAATAGTTGTGTAAAAATAAACACTATCTCAGAATTACTATTTTCAGAATTGTGAAGATACAACATGTATGTAGGCAATATGATTAATTTATTAATGTGCAATTTTTATGCAGTGCAGTGCCAAAATGCATGTTTTTCCAAATAGCACTAAAATGAGGCAAAGAAAGTAGTTTTCAAATTGCAACTTAGTTGTCACATTATAATGTAAACCAGTTTCAACTTTTTGGTTTGTTTTGTGTGAAAACTTGCACTATTTTTGGCTGTAATTTCCAGCAGTCCACTGCATGCCATTTGTGTAAGGATTCTTTCTATAATTCTTGTGAACCGTCTCACCCATAATAACCCTGGCGTTGGAATCTAGGTTTCTGGCAAAGTATTTTGTTACCTCAGTCTTGTATCAAGTTGCTGTATTTTTCAGTTTGTTACATTGATAATGATTGTTTCACTAATTAAATACTTTAATGTAAAAAAAAAAAAGTTTGTTTACTTCAACAGCAATTGCATTTGGTTGTAAGTTTTAAAATGTTCAGAGTGTGTATGCTGTTAACAATAAAATATTCTGAAAAAGAATCGCAGAGGTATAGAGGGAACATTTTAGCTCAAAGGCAGCAAGCATGTTTTATTTGTGAATGAATAGTAACACAGCTGAACAGACTTTGCAGTGCACAGCGTGTAGCCATTTAATGGTATAAACACAAGAGAATCCAAATTTCTAACAGAAAATTGGAAAACCCTACAAATCTGCAGTTCTTTCAAGTGGGATTTGGAAAGTCCAAAGAAGTAGAGACAAACCTATCCTCTTGTGGACAGGGAGGTTGGACGAGGTGACCTTTGAAGGTCCCTTCCAACCTAAACCGTTCAGTGATTCTGTGATTCCCTATTCAAGGCTAATAAGCTCCACGTTACAACTGGCAAAGAAGGTGCTTTAATTTCTGCAGAAACAATTTCATGAGCAGTTGCCTGAGAGATCATAGAATCATGGACTGGTTTGGCCTGGAAGGGACCTTAAAGCCCATCCAGTGCCACCCCTGCCCCGGGCAGAGACACCATCCCCTAGCCCAGGTTGCCCAAAGCCCCGTCCAACCTGGCCTTGAACCCTGCCAGGGAGGGGGCAGCCACAGCTCCTCTGGGCAACCTGTGCCAGGGCCTCACCACCCTCACAGGGGGGAATTTCTTCCACGGGTGCCTTTCTGGGCTGTGAGTGCCTGCTGCTGGCTCACAGGCAGTTTTCCACTCACCAAACCCCCCAAGTCCTCCTGGGGGCTGCTCTCCATCCCCTCCTCGCCCAGCCTGGGTTTGGGCCTGGGATTGCCTTGACCCATGGGCCCATGGGCAGGACCTTGCCCTTGGCCTTGTTGAACACCATGAGGTTTGCCCATGGCCCCTCCCCAGCCTGCCCAGGTCCCTCTGGCTGGATCCTTCCCTCGGCGTGTCCCCGCACACACAGCTCGGTGTCAGGGGTGTGTTTGCTGAGGGTGTGCTTGATCCCACTCAATTAAATGTTACCTAATTTGAAGGTGAGAACAAAACAAACTCGTATAAAATGGATACGTCTAGAGCTGGTTCCTGAAATGGACTCCTTTTCCTGTCATCCCCCAGAAACAGGAAAGCAGTTTCAAGGCTTTTTTATTACTTTGTAGTCTTGGACCTATACAGTTTTCCTCCAGGATCATGTCCAGTGTTTCTCTGTACATATTTTATAAAGGAAGCATCAATAAGTGTCTCTTACATCTGCCAAATGGTTCTTTTCACTGATAGCATCAGTTTAAATGGGAAAACTGATTTGAATTCCTCTCCTCCCCATAGGCAACAGGATAGAAAATAAACAAAATGAGCACATTAGGAAGGAAAAGTAACAATCACTATATTGCAGACTGCCATTATTATTGTTATAGAGACAAATTGCAGGGGAGAAAGAGGACTACATGCTTTTGTTACACAATGTTCAAAGATGAGTACTGAAGAGCTCATTAAATGTTCATGATGTGCAATCCTCTTGTTTTGTAACCTGTGAGAGAAAAACCAAAATGAAATCTTTAATACGTTTATTCCTACTTTAGATGTCAGGCTGTGCTAGGTATGTAAGTGATAGCACCGTTAAATTGCATTAGTTTTTCTTCTGAAATTAGTGATGGTGGTTAAGGTATTTCCATAGCTGTGATCTGTTACTATGAACATTTGTTTATCAAATTCTGAAAATACACCAGACTTTTGCTTATAGGGCATGTAAAACAAACAAACAAAAAAAACCAAAAAACAAAACAAAACAAAAAAAAGAAGTAAAAGTTTGCTCAGATGTGAGAGCAAGTCAGATAAGCATATTAGGAAGGATGAAAACACCCATTTTGCGTCAACTAAAACAGAGTTTTGCATAAGTGCAGATAGTAATGAATTGGAGGAAGTATCCTTTATATTTCTGGACTTTGTCTGTAGCCATGGCCTTTACGGCCAGAAATCAGCTTTTCAGCTTTAAGGAAGAGTAGACTGTGTTCCAAGTGATTATTTGCTTCACATGATCCATACTTTGGGTTTGCAAGAATCACACAACTGAATATAAAGCAAACAAGCAAGGTCAGCAATCAAATAGATTTGTTCTAGTGTACGTATAGAGAAAAGCACATCCAGTTCTGCGGAATAAAAAAAATGTAAACAACCACCTAGATAAATTATTTTACATATGATTTGTTAATTGATACCACTGTCTTAATAAAATGATAACTGTCATTTTTGAACACATAGGAACACCTTAGAACCCTGGAAACACTGAAGTCAGTTGTAGCAAAATGGTTACCATTTCTTGTAATGATACAAAACTACTGATGTGAATCTGTTTGAATCTTGTGGAGACTCTCAAGTAAACAAACAACCAAAAAAAAAAAATTTATTCTCAGCACAACTAGCACCCCACAAACATAGCAGCAGATTCAAATGTCTGTGAGAGGAGAACGAAACTATTACCACTTCCTATGGTTTAACAACAACCCCAAATACTCTGTTATTCACCTAAAAAAATGAGGGCTCTCAACCTCAAGGAGTCCCCTTGGGCAGCATCCTGACCCAAGGGGAGAGTCCTCAATGGAAGTGGGCTGCCCCAGGGGAGGAGCTCAAACTGGCTGCCCCAGGGGACTCCACTACTTACACCCAGGCCCAATCTGCGCAGGGGTCAGTACCGGCTCCCATTGGCCAAGGGGCCCAACTGCTGTGAAGCCCCGAGAACAAGGGCACAGAAGAAGGAAAACGATGGCTGCTGCCCTTCAGCGGCCAAGAAGCCAGGCGGGTGCACCTGCCGCCTTGACATGAACACAGTGAATGGAAGCCTTGTTTCTTAGAGGGTAACATCGTACTCTTTCATGATGCAAAAAGACAAAGAAAATGGAAGAAAGCAAGGGAAGGGGCAGCTAGCTGGTGCAGAAATGAGTAAGGAAGATTAAAAAAAAAAAAAACCAACACAAAAACCAACACTTCTTTTCAGATTACAATGTTTGCTGCTTTCGAGTACAGCATACTTGAATGTCCAGCTAGTCCTGTCTGTGTTGTTTGGTAGTGCAATTCTTTTAATTCTTTCAACAGCTGGGAAAGGGGGAGGGAATATTTTTTATTTTACCTACCAGCCTCAAGGAGGGCACATCTGTACCTTCTGAGGAGACTTGATCTTTACATCCTGAGGGGAAGTGCAGGTGGAACACTAAAAGAAAAAGCATATTTTAGCACAGCTACTGAGATATGAAAATTATTTAGTCAGTCATTCAAAACACCTCTTTTTGCAGCTATTTTTTGGATCACTGTGTGAAGCTGAGCACCTTGTATGTGTATCTAAGAGTTAGTATAGAATACTGTTTTGCATAGATTGTTTTCTACAGAAACATCACATGTACTGAACCCCTCCACAACCAGAGAGAAGTTCCTAGGTCCTAAAGCCACACAAACAAGGATGTTCATATTATAATTCAGATCTATAATTAATTTTTAAAGATCTAACATGAGATGACAAAGGTAATACACAATTAAATTCCTCTTCAGTAAGTTTCTGGAGCAGTCTCCAGCTGGATGGGGATACTGGTTACCACTAACAAAGTAGGTTGAGCAGATTCCTACAGCTGTTCTGAATTTGTATCACAGGACCAAGGCAGTTGACTTCCCTCAAGAGAGGCAGGAGCCGGCTAGAGTTAATCAAAGCCCTGCAGGTAGCAGAGCAGCTGTTCTCAGCAGAGCACAGCTTTGCTCTTGGCACTGCTCGTGTCTTAATGCCTAGCCTGATTCCACAGTCGTGTAATCTCTTATGGGTGTACTCCACCTCCAGAGGTGCAAAGGACTGTGAATCCAATGGAATAATTACATTCAATTAGCAGTAAAATAGGAAATGTTAAGAGATCTAGCAATTCCTAAGCAGTGAATGTGCTGATTAACCATTAGGGGAAGCATCTGTGGAGCATATGTTGCTATCCAGTTCCTTTGACATCTTTTGAGATCAGGCTGCCTCTGCCTTGCTCTTTGTGCTCTGAGGAGGCAAAGAAAGGGGAAGATCTTTTAACGTCAGAGACACCAACTTCTGTACTAACCCCTGACTCATGGCTACTGTATGGCAGGAGCACATTTGTTTCAATCAGATGTTTCACTTTGGAGTGAGGACAACACAGCATGCTGATACATCATAAAAGGTAAGAAACAAAAAAAGGATTGTTGCTAAGGGAGGGTATGTATGACACGGGGTGAACGCAGATGATGACTAAATCAAGGCTGTCAGTTAATACTTAAGATTACT